TTTCCATGGTGCTGGTAAAGATTTTGGGCCACCCCTGAGGAAGCCAGAAGGTACCCTGGTTGAGAAAAGCTGATCTAGAGACATCAATGAGATTTAGATGTCCTCACAGTGTCAGGTTCCACCGGGATGATAATTCCAGACTCATATCATGTATGCAGGGCAGCAAAATGATTCACACCTGTTGGTAGGGAAAGGTAAACTTTGTAGGGTTAAGGTGCCCATACACCTTTATCTGCAGATTTTCTATGGTCAGATGGAAAAAGTGCAACGGATTGGCCCTGGTGGAGATTACTCCATCCATACAGTTTAGCATAGATGGAGGAATCTGTTGCACCTTTTCCATCTGACCACAGAAAATCTGCAGATAATTGTAAGGTGTATGGGCACCTTAAGAAATGAATTGGGCTTGGACTAAGCTGCTCATACTGTGTCCTCTACCAACCATAAAGTACAAGGTGAAAGCGTTGCTCCTCTATGTTGGCTGAAATGATTGCCAATTACAAGATGGAGTTAATCTAAAATTATTTGCCACAACATTTACTCATCACCCATATACACTATATTGCCAAACATTTGCGGTGACCTGACCATCACACCCATATGAGTTTGGAGGACATTCCAATGTTAACCATGGGCATTGGCAATATGGACTTGCCCCCTTTGCAGCTATGCCAGCCTCCGGGAAGGATTTCAACAAGGGTGGAGTAGATTTGTGAGAAATTTAAAGGAGAACTATGAGGCGAGTGACTATCACTCAGCCTCATAATCTGAGCCGACCTGTGACAATGAAACTCACAGGTCAGCTCAGTAGATCGGGAAGTGAGCGAACACATACCGGCGCTCGCTCACTTGTCAATCTGTGCAGAGAGCCGTCACTGTCACTCACGGCTCCCTGCAGGGATTTCCCCCCCCCTCCCCTTTCCTCCAGCTCTGACTGGCGGAACAGACGGGGGAGGGGGCGGGTACAGCTGGCTCTGCTTCTAGATAGGCAGAGCCCGCTGTCATTCACGCAGCTGGGTGGATCCAGACAGAATTGTTGGGATCCGTTCCGGCTGCGGTGTCTCAGTATACCGCGAGCAGTAGCTCGGGATATACTGAGCTTTGGGTGACGGGAGGGTGCTAGTTTGTGTCCTCCCGTCACCCTTAAAGGAGAACTATGGGGTTAGGGCTTTTCCCCATAGTTCTCCTTTGTCTATTCACCCGAAACAGAATTTATGAAGTCGGTAATTGATATCGGAAGAGAAGACCCGGCTTGCAGTCAGGATTCCAATTTATTCTAATGGTATTCTTAATGGGTTGAGGCCAGGGCTCTGTGCTGGTCACTCCAGTTCCTCCACACCAGACCATGTCTTCTTGGAGCTGGCTTTGTGCACAGTCATAGTGGGACAGAAATAGACCTTCCTCAAAACGTTACCATAGGGCTGGTATGAACTCAAATGTCTTTGTACGCTATAGTATTAACTATACGCTTCGCTGGAAACCCCTAAACCCCAAAATTTGTAGAGGTGGGCACATAGCTGTGGCCACATCGTATAGCAAATTGTAACATGGTGGCTAACATAAGCCATTCTGAAGCCAGGCATGATTAAAAAAAACAACTAAATAAGCAGTAGTTACTTTCAGTGAAATATGTAGGTCAGTAAGGTTTAGAGATTTGGCCAGCTGAAATCATATGCAAATCTTGACTTTTCCTGTAAATGTCGAGCATGGCCAGGCCCACCACCTCCCTACCTAACATTATCCAATAGACATGTGCGTCTGGTCAAATGATGAACTGGAAAAGCCGTAATTCACATATGGCTTAAGCTGCATACGGGATATAACCGTAAATAATACTTGTATAGTCGAGTTATAATATTGTACAGTATAGGCTTTCAGAGCATCACATGGTTTGATCTGATATTGATATGCTACCGTGTTTCCCCGAAAATAAGACACTGTCTTATTTTTTTTTTTTGCACGAAATAAGACACTAGGTATGATCGCTCTTCAGCTATCTATACTTCGCAATGGAATGTTGGCATTACTGATAACAAGCAACCCTTGCACCCTCCCTCGCCCTAGACACTTATCACACGCTGTGTTTTTCCACCTTGTGTGTGGTGACTTGCATCATTATTCTGACTCCGATTGTTGTGATAGCGATATATCCCTTGCTGAGACCTCTATGCCTGGCCTGTATAAGCAGATACAATCACTGCGGACAATCCTTATCAGATAGCTGAACTCACCAAATACCGTTTCCATCCACAAAGGTGCTTTATTCTGAACATCAGGTTACAGCAGATGACAGGATACAACAGATGAATTAATTGTGGTATTTATGCCGTCAAAAGATGATAACTTTGTAGCGTACTATGTGGAATACATGTGTCCCTTGTTACATGTGGCCTGTAGCTGCATCCATGACACAGGAAGTACTGACCAGGAAGAAGGGTGGGGCATTACACACAGGAAATGTGTCAAAGATATTAGAGAAAGGGAACATAAAAAACAAGTGCATTCCCACAAAGGGTCACTAGATGGCAGCATGTGAACTAAATATAAAACGTCCATAGGAAAATGGTATAGGGAAAACAAACTATATAAATTCTTATCTAAATAAAACATCTATGCCCCATGGGGCGGCACAATGACAATGGCATGTGATGGATTTACAATGATAGACCAGAACTGTTTGAGCACCTGAGCATGCACCTTCCTTATTGTATCAGTGAGGTTTATGGTAAATCCATATTCTGGCTCGGAATTACTTTTATAGCTTATTACATGCCATGCAGCTTGGATAGCATGACGCCAGGCCAGGAAGGCATCTTGTATGCACCCCTCTGATCCTGGTTTCAGCAAGTTACTGTTGGCTTAACGTCAGGGCTAAACTCTACCACCATATTAGAAGCCACAGCCCCTTCCCTGTCCCATTAAAGGTCCGTTAAAAGCCATAGGGCACCGTCATTGGTCTCAGGGGGATTTCAAATTATCCATTAAGCTTTTCAAGCGCTGTCATCCATGGGTACCTACCTGCTACATAAAGCCTATAAAGTCAAGCTCTTAGTAGGAAATGGAAACCAGCATCAGAGAGGCACGCGGAAGAGGCCCGTCTGCTCAAATGCAGGACTTTTACATATTTAAATTGGCCGATAGCCCCATTTTCACATACAGCGTGGTAAGGCACATCTATAATGCCTAAAATGTTTTAAATAAAATGCTTATTTATAGAAATTCATAGTCAGCCAAGTATTGTCCTTACATACTTCTGGACAGAGCTTGTCACATAAGGGCATTGCACAGCCATGCATGCTTCCGTGAGTGTGCAGGTTGCAGTAGGTGTAGAGAAGTACTAAATCCAGGGAACACTTTCTGGGCCTCACCACGGGCACTGATTTCGGAGCCACTCAGAAAAAGTAATACCAGCAGGGCAGATGGATACGTAGGGCATATGCCAGGAGGAATATTGGAGTGCATAGCTTCCACAAGTGTGAAAGATGAACTCCGGAAACAAAAACTCATTCAAATAATAACTTCCATAGCCCAATGTCCGCGCTCCTTCACAGCAGTGCCAGAGAGAATGGCGGGTACACATGGGCTGAGCCCGTCTTGCTCCAGCATCAGTAGCTACTCACAGAAAATATACTCAATAGCCAAAAGCCAGATATCACCCTGTACATAGTCTGTGCAGAGAGCAGAGCTGCGGGAGGGACCCAGCAGGCCACACACACTACAAACTGCCTGCTGAAAACTACAGGAGGGTTCGAGGACAAGACCAATCACCCTGCACAAGGAGAGAGAGGAGCAGTGACCGGTCTTTACAACAGGAAGCTCCTGTACAGCGACTAAGTATAACAGATGTGCTAATCCAGCATTGCACACTGATCTGATAGAAATACACCAAGAAATAAAGTGACACTAAGCTCAGGAATGACATCGTAAAAATACATTCAACTATCTTAACAAAAATGTATGTTATTTGTGTATCACTCGGCTGTAGATCCTCAAATCATCTCTGAATTGGTGCTGACACTGTCCTTCCTTCTTGAGGGGGGCTACTTCTGTTCCCCATGGTCCTTGTGTGTGTTGTAAAGTAGTCACCTCTCCAAGCTCACTCCCATGATGGACTACAATCTCACGTTTAGTTTACTCATTTGTATTGAGATTGTAGTACATCACAGGAGTGAGCTTGGAGCGGTGACTACCTTACAACAGACACAGGGACCATGGGGGAACAAAAGTATCCCCCCTCCAGAAGGAAGGACAGTGTCAGCACCAATTCAGAGATGATTTGAGGATCTACAGCCGAATATTACACAAATAAGATACATTTCCGTTGTTAAGATACTTGAATGCATTGTTAAGATTTAAAAAAGAACTATGGGGTAAGTGTTTTCCCCCATAGTTCTCTTTAGGGTCACGGGAGGACATATACTAACCTCCTCCTGTGACCCAAAGCTCAGTATATGTTGGGCAATACTGAGAGCGCTGCAGCCAGGACAGATCTCGATAAAACTGTCTGGATCCACCTAGCTGCGCGACTGACAGCTGGATCTGCCCATCTAGAAGCAGAGCCAGCTGTACGCGACCCCTCCCCCGTCCGTTCCGCCAGTCAGCGCTGGAGGATCAGGGAGGGGAGGGGGGGGAATCCCTGCAGGAAGCCGTGACTGTCACAGCTCTCGGCAGGGAGTAGATTGGGAAGTGAGCGGATCGGCTGCATGTTTCTGCTCACTTCCCGATCTATAGAGCTGACCTGTGACAGCTTCTTTGGAAATCACTCACTTCATAGTTCTCCTTGAACTCGAGTTTAGTCTTACGTTAGGAAATACACATAAATCTTGTATCCAGACAGCTTGTGTAGCCTAGATAAATGCAAAGCTTCAAACATTTGAAAGCACTGTCGCTTTAAATAAAAAAAAACATTCAATAATAGGGGACAGGACAAAAGGCTTTATTTTTTAATAAGAAAAATCTACATTAAGTGCAAAAAAAGCAGAAGTATATATGATTTTTTTCAGATTCCGAATTCTCATGATGTGGGGGGAGGAAAGGGGGTGACAAAAAAAAAAGGAAAAGAAAACAACCAAAAAAGCTCTGAAAATTTGCAATCACTATTTCAGAGAAAAACGGTGTGGTTTGGCAAAAGTCCGGAGTGAAACAGGAAGGTGTGTTCTGACCTGCGAGGACACAACGGTCTCAAGATCTCTCCTCTGAATGAGCTGGGAGGGAGGCCACCCTGTAGAGACCGCTGACAGGATATACACCTTTAATACAGTACCTCTGGCAGTCTTGTAGGTAAAAACGGTCACACTCTCGCTAGCGGACTTGTCAAAGAGCAGGAAGATGGGCCCGCTGCCAATAATACATGCACCAGGCTGTGTATTTTTCGAGTTTGATCCTTGGCCAAGTTTATCAAAAAAACAAAAAAAAACAAAAATCACTGAGGGGGTTTGAGGGGGGAAGCAGCAAGATCTGATAATGCACTCGAGAGTAGCCCCTTCAATGTGAATGAAGGTTCCAGCTGTGGGCACTTACTGAAAATCACTTTATGACCTTCTCTGTAAAGACTGCGGTAAAGAAATAACAAAAAAATAAAGCAATATTAAAAAATAAAAAAAGGAAGATTACAGATTGAGACAAGCACATTTCTTTTTTTTTTTTTTCTCTCAAGATAACAATAAAAATATTCTGTCCCATCCTGTGGGGGAATTTGGAATGAAGGTAAATGCCATGTACATTTCCCCCCTGAGGTCTGACAGACATTCACCGATTTCCTTACTCTGCACCTAAATGCAAGCCCCCTCCCTTGGCCCTTTAATTTCCCCACCCCTGAGGGGCGGCGATGCAGAGATCCAGGAGCAAAAAATGAGGGAGTCACATCCGCCGTCCAGACATGGTGATTAAAACTGCAAAAAGAAAACAAAATGGAATGGTTAGGAAGTAGCTACAATCTTTTCTCTATTGCAAGAATTGTAAATATGTAAAGCTGACACTGGTGGGGACTAGTTGCCTATAATATTCAGTCACTGACCAGGAGAAGGAATGCAGATCAGGGCAGTCAGAAATCTTACCTATAGAGTTGTTCCAGTTAGTTACTTGGTGTATTAAAGCCAGGGTCTTAAAGTGACATTTAACCTTGAACTTTTTTTTAATCATGCGCATGGGAGGTCCACATGGAAAGCATATCCTTTGTTCTTTTTTTATTCCTCGTATTCTAGTGGGTCCACGCAGCACTCTACCCCCGCCCCCTGCACGGGTGCCGCCATCAGCTAAGTAAGTGGCTGTTGTGGAGGCACACGTGTGTGCATGTTCCCCGCCATGCCCGCAGTAGCTGTGTGCGTCCATAGACTGTGACAAGAGGCGCTGATGAGCAAATGTAGAGAGACACAGAAAGGTAGTGGGCATTGTTTTACCTTAATGCAGAAGTCCCCAACCGTTTTTGTTCTTAAATTTAAAGTGTAGCGTACGCATACAATACCTTCCCTGGTTGACGTCCCCCTTCCTCCTGATCAAATAATTTTGCTTTTCAAGGTATACCCATTTTGAAACCCAATGATGTCATCACTGGGTCAGTCTACTGCTATCTGGTGGAAAGGGGCGGCAGGCTCCTGTAAACGTCACAGCATTCTGCCTCGGATCTTTTTCAAAAGAATTTTATGAAAGAACTTGTGTAGAAGGAGGATCACCAGCACTCAAAAAGATTTTTGTCAAATCCTTGTGTTCATTTATTATGAAACAGCGTCACATATAGCCATGGCTATATGCGACGCTGTTTCATAATACCTGTTTTTCGGGGGAGGGTTTGAGGCTGTTTTGGGATGATTCAAGCGCATATATTGTGCACTTTATCTCTATTATTATTACATTGTAACAGATAATGAAATAAATATACTACTCACCATAATGCAGAATCAGTGGGAGCCCTGAGCTAATTTTCCTACTCTCACGGCCAGAGCGGGCTCTCACCAGGGCGTCCAGAGTGTCTCACCGGTAGCTACGGGCACAGCATACACGGCTCTTTCATCAGGCGGCCCCAGCGATCAGCCTTCTAATGCCTAATTAGAGGGCCACCTCTGCCTAATTGTAGCCAGCCCATATTGCCATCGGGCATACAAGGCAATGGGGGCGGGCTTGGAGCAGGAGCTCCACGTGCCCTTATGTGAATCAGGTGCCGACCGCATGGCAGGGGTTGGGGACACATGCATTAAGGTAAAAAATGCCCTGCCTTTAGTAATACTTTAAAACAGTGGTTCTCAACCTGTGTAACCTCAGGACCCACATTTGTCCTTGGTCATTAAGTTGCGTCCCAAGTCGCACTGCAATGGAATGCATGGAATTAGGGTGCCGCGTGTTCCAGTGCAGGCGTACGAGCTGTGGGTGGGAGGTGCGTTTAGGGTAACATTTAAATGAATGGCAACCCGACACACCAGAATGCACGGTAGGTGCAATTGCATGGTACAGTGCGTTAATCGCACAATACTAGTGTGAACGGGTCCTCAAAAACAATGACAGACATATATAACCACAGACACAATCTGCTGAACTGTGACGGAGCTCCATCCATATGTACATTACATGTGCAGCTCCCTTGCGTGCCCTGTAGAGGTGCCGGGAGCCAGAATGTGACGTCACTCCGGTCCAGGCTCCTCTATAGGACACGTGAGGGAGCGGTAAGCAATGCACGTATGTATGGAGCTCCCTTGCAGCCATAGCCCGATTCCACCCCACCCCAAGCTGACACTCGGCTTCGGGCAACATATTTTGAATGGCTGCTTGGAGCGGGAACTGACAGTGCTGCACTTGCGGGAGGCAGAGGAGCCTCTCAACTAGAAAACTGGAAGACATGTGGCGACCCACTAAACAGGGAGCCGCGACCCACTTTTGGGTCACGACCCACCAGTTGAGAACCAAGGCTTTAAAGTGACACTAAACTCAGGAATTAAAATCGCAAAAATGCATTGAAGTACCTAAACTAGTAACAACAATGTATCTTATTTGTATATCACTCGGCTGTAGATCCTCCAATCATCTCTGTGGTCCCTGTGTGTGTTGTAAAGTAGTCACCGCTCCAAGCTTGCTCCTGTGATAGCCTACAATCTCAATACAAATTATTAACCTAAAACGTGAGCTTGTAGTCCATCACAGGAAACAGACGGGGAGTCTATGAAGTCCTACACCACGGACTTGACAAACTTTGTTGATAGGAAAATGTAAAGCTAAAACCCACCACAGCTTGCTTTTTATTTTCCATGAGCAGCATGGAAGAATACATTGAAAAGGAATTACTCACCGACACCTTTTTTTTCTCACTGAATAGGTTTTTGTTCTTAAATGTGAAGTGTAGCGTACGCATACAAAAGGCTTCCTTTGTTGACGTCCCCCTCCCTCCTGATCAAATAATTTTGCTTTTCAAGAAATACCCATTTTGAAACCCAATGATGTCATTACTGTGTCTGTCTCCTGCCCTCTGGTGGAAAGGGGCGGCAGGCTCCTGTAAACGTCACAGCATTCTGCCTTGGATCTTTTTCAAAATAATTTTATGAAAGAATTCATCCCCGGGATCTCTTTAGATGTTCCTGCTTCCCTCTGCTGGCCACTAGATGCTGCAGACTTTAGCTGTGCACTGATTGGTTGGTTGCGAGCATGTCTCAAGGGATGCCAGGCATGTGTTATTTAAAATAAAGCTCGAAAAGCAGGCTCAAGATAGCGGCTGTCTCTTCAAAGCGGTTATATAAGTTTGCAGGAAATGGGGAATAATCAGTTTCAACATAGGAGGAGACTTGATACAAGTGTGGGAATCAAAAGACTCGCTGCTATAAGGGTTCAAGTGCCCAAAAATACCAGCTTGAGATTGGCAGACCATGCCGAGATTCACAATTTACCAGCCGGAGCACAGCAGGGGGCCCGTGCCAACCAATACTGCCATTCCTGAACTACCAGAGAAAAAGTTCTTACGTTCTTTAGGAATTCCTCAGCTACGATACGAGCTCTGGCGTTGACTGACAGCTTCATTTCGCTGATCTCCTTGTCGATCTCCTCCATAAAATGAATGACAAAGTCAACCAGCTTGTGTTTGTACATTTGCTCCGTGTGGAAGTTTGTGATCAGAAAGCTGATGTCGTATCCCTGGAAACCAGAAAATTTTCTCATTAAAGAGTGGCAGCCATCTGATGTGACACCGTGTTCCCAGTGCTAATTACTCCCACGTATCAAAAGGCATGTTCTAATATCTCTGATGCTGCAAAGCACTTCTACATCAAATATGCAAACCTATCATTAAATACAACCCCCCCTCCCATTCATCTTCTCCCTGACAGTCAGAAACTGTATATGTATCATTGAAGTACATACCTTTGCTGCAGAAACCACCAATACGGGATCCCATGGCCGCCAGTTGTGTGATTTCTGCTCAAGGTAAAGAACAGCCCTTCTGAACCCAAATCCATCCCCTCGGAAAGACCAGACCAAAGCTGGCCATTTGCTCACATGACCGGTTGCCACAGGATCCCGGATAAGCAGTTTCTTTAACAAAGGCAAATATTTCAGGTGTGACGTCACCTCTTCTGGGGGCTTTTCGGGAGCATGGTAGACAACTCAACGGGGTGCTGTATTTAATGGATGGTTCACTTTAGAGATTTCTGGTTTTCTAAAGTCAAAGACCTCTAGATTGCTGGATAGAACCAACATTGCTGTCTGGAAGGGCTGCCAATAGCTTTCTTTACCATATTTATACAGCATTCACATATAATAGAGAGTAAGCACAGCCAGTCTCTTTCCCCCCAGGAGATCATTAACATCCCCACCATACAATGGGAGGAAGCAATAGCACCAGAGGGTGAGCATACAAACTCCTGGCAGGCAGTATTACAGGCGGGATCCAAATCCAGGTGCTAGCTAGCCAAGATCTTAGCACTTCTACCAGATCCCCGGACATTCTGAATAACTTGATGTCTGTGCCCAAGCGGACTGAAGATCAACAGGAGTCAGTAGGAGCTGTGCATTCTCAGCCCCCAACCCCTGGGACTCTAATGCTGTTGAGGTAGAGTGGCCATACCCTGCTTTAAATTCCTTTAAATACTTCCACATGTGTATAACCAGGAAATTGGGCTTGCGGCTATTCCAAAAAATAAAACATTATTGGAGGTCTTCTTTAGAGCAGAACTTCAGTTGGATATTGAAGTCACAGATTATTGAAGCTCTGTATTTATTAATGCATCCTTCCCTTTATTTATGTTTAAATGCAAGCAGTGTAGGTACCCGAATTTTACTTGGTATCAGTTGTTCGCATTCCCTGTACAACAAAGCTCAAACTGGGAAAGGGAGAAGCAGTCCACATAACCAGTCAGTTATGCTGCAGTGGTCATCTGCTAACAAGGAACCTACTGATAGAAGCAGATAACATGCATGTAACATGAATGCTCCTATCAGTATGCAGATAGCATGCTTGATAGAAGCAGAGCGACAGAGGGTAGAGCTAATTAGTCTGCTGCTTCCCCTCCACTGTCCAAATACAGGCCAAGACCTGTAAGTTGCTTAACTGCAGCAAAGAAAAAAAATCAGGGTTCTGTCTGCCAGACCGGACAGTACTGTGCAACAGGGAATACAAACTGGCAGGTAAACTGCTTCCTTATATGTATTTAATTTGCTTTTTTTTAGCAGTTTGGCTTTACCCAGCCTTGACCTCACCATGATTTTTGGTATGAAACAGGAAGCGGCCGGGTCAGTAGAATAACAACGTTTTTTGTACCCAATTATGCTGACTTCATAAAAACAGACTTGGAAAGATGTCTGCCTGTGGATCTTATTTCAAAGCAAATCAAGTGGTTATGTGTTCCCTGCCTCCACTTCATCCCATCTGGATGCTCATATTTCTCTGCTTTGATTGGTTGCCTTTTCTACAATATTCACTTGTGCCATGACAGGTTCCCTTGGAGGAACCCCTAGCATAAAACTGCTGCCGAGTTCCACTACCTGGTGACTAGAACCAAATAAAACTGGAACAATTTACTCGAATCCTCATGCAGACCACATAAGAAAACAATCATCGCAGATTTGATTGTTCAATGAAACCTCTCAGTCAAAAAAACATCACTCGGCACAAAGAAAAGAATTATGTCGAATAAGACTGAATTTCTTTTTGCTGTTTTTCGGTCAAACTGCCTGTTGATTGCAAACAATTTGTGAATCTTTCATGGAAACACTGGTATCATTATGTGAAAGGCCAGCAACGGACGTGTTCTTACCTCTACAGCTTTTCTGCGCAGGATGAAGAAGTTCTCTGCCCTCATCATCATAAAACGCATGAATTTATGGCATAAAATCTTTTCAATTTCATCAGCCTGTCCAAATAAACAACAGGTAACATTTCAAGTAAACCGAGCAGATAAACAAGTACTTATTGTCATAACTTATGGTTACACAGCTGGTGAAATCACTACATAAAGCCACTTAATCCTAAACTTAGAACACCAGGCTTATGTATTAAAGCAAGATAGTGTTTGTGCCAATCTCCTGCATTCACTCCAAAGACATGCTGGTAGGTTAATTGGCTCCTGTCTAAATTGGCCCTCTATGTATGTATGTATGTATGTATGTATGTATGTATGTATGTATGTATGTGAGATAGGGACCTTAGATCGTGAGCGAGGGCAGGGACTGATGTGAATATGCAACTATGTAAACCGCTGCGTAAGTTGTCGGCTCTATATAAATACCTGTAAATCCAACACAATCCAAAAGTGTCTGGGCTTTGCCTGTTCATATGGCCTGGCAATTGGATGTGAATGTGCCACAATACCTGCACTTTATACCTTCTAGCTCTAAATTTAATGGTGGCAGAGCTACTTTGAATAAAATATCACACAGGCACAACACAAGCCGACAATATTGAACCATACGGTAAGGTCACGCTTGCAGTAACTCACCTGTTTCACAGCGATGCTGACGCGCACAGAGTTAATGGATCCCTCAATCAGAACTTTCTCCTTTTCATTTCTGCTGATGACCACCGGCTGTAAGAGCAGTTCTTTACTACTCCTGAAACCCAGAGAGAAGACGTTTGGTTACCAAACCGCTCCACATAAAGCTCCCACATCACATACAATCTTCCCCCGCAAGTCTGCTGGCTCAGAGGCTATGTGGTCCACATTCAGCTCTGTACTACTTGATGCTCATGAAAAGTAATCTAGCATACCAGTTTTACAGAAAGCAACAGTTATGTGATGCAGATGGTTTGTCAGCTTCGCCATCTCGAATTAAAGAATCATGGGGCTAATAAAAATAAAATAAAAAACATGCATACTCACCTCCATGCTGCAGCAGTCCCACGGCGGCTCTAAGACTGAGGGCTGACAGGTCACATGACCGTAGATCATTCAGCTCTCAGTATGCTCGCAATAAAGAACAGTGTCTCTCAGTCACTGAACCCTGCTCTGCTCCTCCATCACTATCCAGGGCAATAGATTGGGGAGGGAGCAGATCGGGCACCAGACATCATAAGGCAACAAAAATACTGTCGGGTTCCTTCCCGAAAGAGGTGTGGCACTGCCCGGCCAGCTAATGCTGGGTCACAGGAGTACATTAGTAAATGTGCTGTGACCCTGAAGAGAAAAATAGCCAAAAAAATGGTTTGACCAAACCTCTCTTTTAAAAAAGCAACAACAATGGTGGTTTATAAAAAGAAAAAAAAAAAAGGAGATTGGTCTCTTTCCTGAAACGTTCTGAACTTGCAGCTATTCCTGCACCACACCAGGAGTAATGGTGACCCCTGACGATTTACTGAATGCTATGACAGCGGGGCAGAACTGCTTTCATCCAACTTTTATATATTTCAAATATATCATAAGTATACGAACTGCTGTGTAGTGTGTCTCCTATAAGATGCTTAAATGCTTCCTACTTCCTTATTCCTAAAAAGGAAGTACCACGTCTCCCCAGTAACTTAATTTATTGCACTGTTTCCATGGTTACCAAGCCGACATCAGTTCCTGAACATTTCTGGCTCCTTCCTTTACAGAAACAGGAACCTCAGAAGTGTGAAGAATAAAAGTATTTTAGACCATTAGCAGCCTTCTTCCGTGCGCCTTATACAAGTTAAAATTGTTGTGAAAAGATGTCACCGGCACACCAATATGACAAACACAAAGTTCAGTGAATCTTCGTTTTTATTTTTCAGAAGTCACTCAAAGTAGAATCAAGCGCTTTCGGGGCCGCGCAGGGTCCCCTTTAACAGGCTTAAAGGGAGCAATGCAGTGCGTTTTGGCCGCGTTTTTGATGCGTTCCAGTAAAAAAAAAATATATATATATATTTTTTTTTTACTGGAACGCATCAAAAACGCGGCCAAAACGCACTGCATCAGTAGCACCGCGTCTGCAGATAGGCACCTGATATCATGTGAACAGGCCCTGATTCTACTTTGAGTGACTTCTGAAAAATAAAAACGAAGATTCACTGAACTTTGACGTGTTTGTCATATTGGTGTGCTGGTGACGTCTTTTCACAACAATCTTTGATTGATGCGGCGCCATCCGCAGTCACTGCGAGCACCCATTTTTCCTATGGGAAGTCCGGTAAGGTGTGCTACAGGTCTTTGGGCATTCATACAAGTTAAAGGTACACGCCAGGAAAAACTAAAAATGATACCTTCCCATAGAGCCTGCCTGCTCAGGTCTTCTGTTCTTATACTGACAAAGCTGTGGCCCAGGGATGGACAAAAAAAAGGGCTTGATGAAGGATCTTACCTTACTTCCACTTCTGGCTTGTTATGTCTCTCCACCACCTGCGAAGAGAAGTTTTCCAGACACATCGCCGCCTGTAAGGTGGCACGGACTGTGTTGAGGTACGGGCGCAGTGTGGCAGACTGTCAAATAAAAATCACACGTTTAAATAATAAGCACAACAAAAAATCACCAAATACACAGAACAGGATCCCAGAAAACTCTCATACACCACTACATAGGAAACAATTCACATTTTCACACCTGTCAGTTTTCCATGTGGACCCAATTGGATGCCCACTGCTAGTCTATGGGCCGGTCCGTTTACACTCGGTTACCCTTGACCCTGACCAGGTCCAGAAAAACAGATAGATTCTGTCTGTGTCCAAGCCGGGACACCCGCACCCATAAAGACCTGCACTTGGGGTGAGCGTAGGGCGGCGTACGGCCGTGTACTCCCATAGAGGACAGGCTGCTGCGTATAATCATACAAGCACTTGTCCTTCCCGGGAGCGGCCCGATACGGCCGTGCACGCAGCACAGATCTGTACGGGCCGGCCGTTACCCGTGCGAATGAGGGCTAAAAGAACAGACATGACATATTCTGGAATCAGCAGGCTCCACATGTCTGACCATTGTCTATTACTGGGAAGTTCATGTTTCCTCGCTCTTTATAAGCGGTCGACAGCTCCTGAATTAAGAGAAAAATTATACATAATAAAATATTTGGTTAATTTAATAAAATATTCAACTTCTTCACTGCCGTCATTTTCTCCCCACGGAATAAGAACTTGTTACTTTACAGCTAAAACAAACAAAAAAAGCGCCCACTCAGCCTAACAAAAGCCGAGTGCTCCCGCAGAGTCTCAGCAATACTGTGACCGCACGCTTCTATTTCTGGAGCGCGTTTATCCAAACGGGGAGGGAAAAGGTTTTCACTTTAATCCCGTGTCTTACCTAATGTGAGAGGGATGCTAAGGTAGCTGACTCATTGCAGAAACACATCAGCGTGGAGGTTCTGGGGATTATTCGGACACACAGCCCTTCATGGAGGTTCATACATTTAATCATGATATTGTATGCAATTATATACAGGGGGAAGATAAAATGACCGTCCAATCACACGCAGGATTTCCTCTGGTCAGCTGCGAACGCCGACTTCTGTAACTGTTGCCTTGAAGTATTTAAAGCAGAACTTTTTAGGGGGGAATGGCAACGAGTCAAATCCGTTACTTGTAATGATGAGTATCCTATGGCCAGATGACTGCCGTTTACTGTACAAACATTAGTTTTACTCATTCGGGATACTACAAACAGGGCGCTTCTTCAGGGGCGGCCACTAAACGTTACGGCTCTCATACAGTAAAGGATTCTGTCCGGTAACCCGTCCTGATAATACAAAATCACCGGCACTCCATACAGCATACAGACCTCAATGGAAGATTGGTGCTCAAAGTGACAACACGATGGCGCCGTGTCAGATACAGTCCATAACAGAAGTCACCAGCACTCGATGATGTGTGCAATAAGTAAAGCACTTTTTATTTAAAAAAATGTATACGTCATACAGCCAACATTACGGCCGGAAGAAGGGACCTTGTGTGGCCCCGAAACGTTGGCTGGCGCGTGGTTTTCAATGCTTAGAGATGTCTATGGGACCCAAACCTCACGAAAATAGCTCCTGCACCTTTTCGCGTGACAGGCGATTAGCTCCGCACGACAAACCACAAAGATTTGAACAGCCTCCATTGACTTTAATGTGCATCTCGTTTTTTGTGTGTGCGATAAATCGCCTAGGTGTGAACTTAGCCTTTAGTGTGCGGAAGCACGAGCAGAATCAGCGGGACACCGTGCGATCTACCCAGCGTGACTGGGGTCCTGACCGAGAGGTGCCGCCTAGGTGTGAACGTAGATTAAAATCTGCACAAATGATTTATTCTCCCCGACTGACACTTATTTGTTATTTTAGCCAATCATCTAACATGTTGTAAACTAAAAAAAGTGCAAAACAGAGAATGAGCCCCCACCGAACAGCTGGAGCTTCAACAGACAGCCGAAACCACAACACTGCTCGAGAACAGGAATGGCAGCCGCGTCTTATACAAACAGAGCCAAAACTTTTGTTTCCAGTATTTGTAAGACGACCGACATTCTCAATTCTGCAATTTTATTATGAATGGTGCCGGTGTTCAGCGTCTACAATCCTTACAAATAACATCTGAAACTGTACACGTTGGCTAATATTTTTATTTAAGATACTTTTTATTTTTTTATACTATAGAAACGACTGAATGTCAAAAAGAAACCAGGAACCTAATCTTCAGCATTCACACCTGAGAAGAGCGTACTTCTGGCAATTGACATTTTTGCGCATTTCTACACCTGTAAACGCACATTTATAAAGCTGTGTTGCACAATCGATTTTGCGCATGTATTAGAGCAGAACTGAACCCTCCAGACAGGCCACTGGAAATGGCGGACAAGGTTGCCAGCGTGCTTATTTCAGCTCTCAACCAAACTTCCAAGCCCTCCAATGGCTGTTGTCGTAGCTGATCACATGTGCAGTGCCATAGCAACTGCAACCCAAATAGAGGCTAAGATGGTACCCTCCTTGACTGTAAAGCAGGGGTGGGCAACTCCGGCCCTCCAGCTGTGCTTTAACTACAAATCCCAACATGCCTCTGCCTCCAGGAGTCATGCCTGCAACTGTCTTGCAATGTCTCATGGGACTTGTAGTTCATCAACAGCAGGAGAGCCGGAGCTGCCTATCCCTGCTGTAAAGTATAGGAGGGTATAGTTCTGCTTTAAAGCAGTTCTCAAGGGTTCACAATAGTAACCCTTTGCAGTGGGGCCACCCACGCACTGCAAGGGTTAACTGCTTGTTTTGGTCTAGGCTAGGGAATGGAATAAAGAAGATACGTTCACCCGATCCAGGCTCCTACGGCGGTGCCTACTCACCCATCCACTCCAGCTTTGGAATGTGCGTTGGCGTACTCACATCTAATGCAAGTGAATGGATCTTGCACAGACGTTATGATCACAGGTCCTTAGATTGCGGATCCCGGGGGGGAAGAAGAGGCTGCAAGCACCGGTCTAGAAGCCAGGCGGGATCGAGGATCAGGTATATTTTCTTTATTTGCACCCATAGACCAAAACTAGCAGTTAACCCTTGCACTGTGGGGGTAGGACGTGGAGTTAAAAAATCCTGCAGTTCCTCTTTAAGCTTCAGGTGTTTTTTGTTGTGGCCAATAGAAAGCATTTCTAGAGATTGGTACTTCAGGTGCAAAAACGCAGGTAACTCCTTATGTCACATACATGCAAACATTCCCATTGATGTCTATGGGGCGAAGAAGAGCAGCAACAGAGCTCCAAAAAAAACAAAGCTCATGTACCTTTTCCAGCATCAGGTGACCGAGCGCAGAGGTGGGCGTGCGTAGTGACCGAGCGCAGAGGAGGGCGTGCGTAGTGACCGAGCGCAGAGGAGGGCGTGCGTAGTGACCGAGCGCAGAGGAGGGCGTGCGTAGTGACCGAGCGCAGAGGAGGGCGTGCGTAGTGACCGAGCGCAGAGGAGGGCGTGCGTAGTGACCGAGCGCAGAGGAGGGCGTGCGTAGTGACCGAGCGCAGAGGAGGGCGTGCGTAGTGACCGAGCGCAGAGGAGGGCGTGCGTAGTGACCGAGCGCAGAGGAGGGCGTGCGTAGTGACCGAGCGCAGAGGAGGGCGTGCGTAGTGACCGAGCGCAGAGGAGGGCGTGCGTAGTGACCGAGCGCAGAGGAGGGCGTGCGTAGTGACCGAGCGCAGAGGAGGGCGTGCGTAGTGACCGAGCGCAGAGGAGGGCGTGCGTAGTGACCGAGCGCAGAGGAGGGCGTGCGTAGTGACCGAGCGCAGAGGAGGGCGTGCGTAGTGACCGAGCGCAGAGGAGGGCGTGCGTAGTGACCGAGCGCAGAGGAGGGCGTGCGTAGTGACCGAGCGCAGAGGAGGGCGTGCGTAGTGACCGAGCGCAGAGGAGGGCGTGCGTAGTGACCGAGCGCAGAGGAGGGCGTGCGTAGTGACCGAGCGCAGAGGAGGGCGTGCGTAGTGACCGAGCGCAGAGGAGGGCGTGCGTAGTGACCGAGCGCAGAGGAGGGCGTGCGTAGTGACCGAGCGCAGAGGAGGGCGTGCGTAGTGACCGAGCGCAGAGGAGGGCGTGCGTAGTGACCGAGCGCAGAGGAGGGCGTGCGTAGTGACCGAGCGCAGAGGAGGGCGTGCGTAGTGACCGAGCGCAGAGGAGGGCGTGCGTAGTGACCGAGCGCAGAGGAGGGCGTGCGTAGTGACCGAGCGCAGAGGAGGGCGTGCGTAGTGACCGAGCGCAGAGGAGGGCGTGCGTAGTGACCGAGCGCAGAGGAGGGCGTGCGTAGTGACCGAGCGCAGAGGAGGGCGTGCGTAGTGACCGAGCGCAGAGGAGGGCGTGCGTAGTGACCGAGCGCAGAGGAGGGCGTGCGTAGTGACCGAGCGCAGAGGAGGGCGTGCGTAGTGACCGAGCGCAGAGGAGGGCGTGCGTAGTGACCGAGCGCAGAGGAGGGCGTGCGTAGTGACCGAGCGCAGAGGAGGGCGTGCGTAGTGACCGAGCGCAGAGGAGGGCGTGCGTAGTGACCGAGCGCAGAGGAGGGCGTGCGTAGTGACCGAGCGCAGAGGAGGGCGTGCGTAGTGACCGAGCGCAGAGGAGGGCGTGCGTAGTGACCGAGCGCAGAGGAGGGCGTGCGTAGTGACCGAGCGCAGAGGAGGGCGTGCGTAGTGACCGAGCGCTGTGGTGCGCGGTCACGTGGGAATGCTGAGCGCTGTGGTGGGCGGTCACATGGGAATGCTGAGCGTTGTGGTGCTTAGGGAAATGTGCAAAGACAAAACACTCAGGTGTGAATGGGGGGCTTAGATTCCGTTAGACCAGAACAGAGGCCAGCAACCTCGGCACCCCAAGCTATTGTGGAACTACAAGTCCCATGAGGCATTGCAAGACTCCAGAGGCCAGGGGGCATTTGTAGTTACACCACACCTTACCCCTGGTCTAGAATATAATAAATCCCGCCTGTATCTTCTCAGGGCAGGTTAAGCGAACGTATGACGGAATACGATTACCGTTGGTAGATTTCTGTTTCGATTTGCTCAATTTTTCAAGAAACATCCCAATTTTCTTTTTTTTACTTTACAGAGGAATTCACCAACATTCCCAGATCAGCGGCCTATGATGAACCCAGTTGTGGCTTGCAGGCATCCAAACAAGCCTGGGCAGAGTAAGGAATCCCAATCTGCAATTGAGCAACTCCCCTCCAACTCAGGACAGGGGTAGGCGCAACTTTGGCACTCCAGCTGTGGTGAAACTACATATCCCATCAGTCATCTGCCTATGGGAGTCATGCAATGCCTCATGGGACTTGTAGTTCCCCAATAACTGGAGTGCCGAGGTTGCCTACCCCTTTTCTAGTCTTATATTTTTTTTGTCATGCATGTCAAAGTCCTGCAATGTCTCATGGGACTTGTAGTTCCCCAATAGCTGGAGTGCTGAGGTTGCCCACCCTCGGTCTATTGCACTTCCTGCCTTTTTGTAAAGTGTATGTGCCATTCAAATGCAAATGAGGTACATCATAGAAATTCCAAAAAGCAAAGCGAGAGAAGGATAACATTGTATCACCTGACGCAGGTGAATGATTGAGAGACGTAAACTTTGCTTGTAGGAGATTGGCCGAGCTCGGGACGTCATCGGTGTGAAATGTTTCAGAGAACGGCGGATGTGATCACAGGTTTATTAATAGAGGAAGTGAACACAAAGCCGACAACCATTTCATCCCGGCCGCGGTGAACACACGCTGTGCTGCAGCTTTCAGAATTGGAACAGACCAACGTCCTCTCGCTGGCACAATCTGCCTCTTCCAAACAAACACATTTTATCAAAGACTGAGTCTGGGTTACCGATGCCGATATGTTCGCTCCCCTTACAGACAGAGCATTCAAAGACGGACAGGTCAGGGATTTAAAGGGTAAACCCCCAGTGTGATACTCGGACATTTTTATTTTAAGGGCTTGTTCACACCAAATGCAGACCAGATCTGCATGAGTTTCTGCACACGCATGGCAGTGTTTATACCGCATTTTGTGCCGCGTTTTTGATGCGTTCCAGGCCGTTTGTGGTAAATATTTTTTTTTATCGTTTAAAATGGGCCTTTAGTGCGTTCCAGGACGTTTGCATGCATTTGTGATACGTTTGCATGCGTTCCAGAGCAGGTAAAACAGGGCTTGCGGCAGTTTCTTTTACATGCTCTGGAACTGAACGCTGCGGTGTGAACTAGAGTCCAAAATACCATTGGAATACATTGGGCGCAGTGCGCAGTTTTGATCCGTTCTGTAACTGCACTGCTCCTGGAACGCGATTGGTGTGAACAAGCCCTAACATAAGCACAAACATAAGAGAAACCCACATGAAAAAGGATTCCCCGAGCTCTGAGTCAGCTAAAGAGACGGCTCAGATTCCTTCACTCACAAGCGGATTGAAACTTCAAACTGAGCAATCTAATAATGGGAGGAGTCCCCGGTGATGAGTAACTGAGCTGTCCACATCAGCTTCATTCAACCCTAGACAAATCAGAGCCCCCCCTTTAGCAAAAATGTAAAGGCACCCATGACAAAACCAGAAGGCTCCTTGGTTAAGAAAGACGTCTCTAAATAATTGATATCTTCCATCAAACCAACAAAGAGAACCCTACAAAAATGAGACGGAGCCTAAACTTCCCTCCGTTAGATCAAAAGCAGAAAAAATATATTAATGTAACACGTCAGAGTTTCCTAAAAATATATATATACACAAAACAACTTTACATTCCTTCGGCCCACACAGCACACTGGAGTAACTCCTGCCTGTGATGATATACAATGTTGCTGTTCATCGTTCAATGCACTTCCTGGGAGAAAACCTCATTCTGCACCGGAGACAGACTACAAAGTAACCACTAAATCCTCAGTCCAGGCCGGTAAAAAGAAAACGTTGTCACCCCAGGACAGGAAGTGTGCCATTGGCAGGATCACCAGGTGAAAAGAAAAACGAATGCAGCCACCTCATCTAAGGTGTGATAAGCTGCAAAGTATTACCGGTATGTCCCTAGGTTTAGATACAATGTAATGTAAGTGAGCCCCTGAATCAGCCTAGTGATCATACTGAACAGCAGCACTCAGACAGGCAAAGAAGAGCTGCTGCTGTGCACACATGCAGAGAAAGGGCATGCCGACAGGAGAAAAGAGCAGAGTGATAGATCATCATATATCATCACCAGCACCTTTTGTTGCTCAATCGGGGGGGGGCGGGAGGATTGCTTGACCAAGTTGCTCCAATTGAGGTTAAAGCAGAAGGAGGTAATGCTTTGAGACTGCACTAACTGGGTGTGAATATTTTTGCAGCTACTACCGGATCAATTCTTAGATTTTGCAATCAAGGACCAATTGACAGCTGCCTCCCACTGGACACCTCAAGAGCCTCCACAAGCAAACAGTGGCATGCCTGTCAGTTTCAGTGATTTTTTTTTTCTGCACTGATACACAATAGAAAAGTCAGGAAGGTGGTGTCAGGGTATTGTGCAATCCCTGAGGAGACACCGGACGTTCAATGAGCACCAGGTATGAGGGCAGAATGTAACCCTGTGAGGGTACGCAGACACCTCGAGGAGATGTACAGGGTGCAGGCCTCATGCCGGGCGCTGTCTTAGCTAAACACTGACAGGGCGGCCCCCGCCCTCCACGGGCTGATTCATCCACCCAGGGCCGCTCCCACGCACACACACAAGGCGGGTCGGCTGCGGACTACTGCCGCCATCCCCGGACCCCATGCCCAGTGCCCTTCTCGGGTCACCTCAGCCCACACCCACCCGCCCTACGGCCCCGGGACCCTTCCCTGGCACTTACCATCGCTCCGGTAGCTCCCGATAGCGGAAGTGACAGCTACGCGCACGCGCACAGTGCAGTTTCCCCCTCGGAGAGACACGGTCAGCCGCCGGGACAAACCATTTCTCTGGTGGGGGTGGCGCTCTCCTCCCCTCCTCTCTGAGTCAAGCTAGTCTTCAACATCAGCCTGCTTTTCCCGTTACTAATGGCGTCCGCAGTATTAAAGAACTATTTGATTAGTATGGATTTTTTTAACGATAAGATAGGTACTGAAAGGTAATAGAGACTGAAGTCTCCCTCCTTGCTCTCAATGGACGCGCCTCCTGGGCTCCTCACCATATTAGGGAATGTGGAATGCTGGTGGGCGAAACCATAACGTAAAAGGAGGGATATTCGATTATTTTTCCAAGCACGTTTGCTCCGTTCCTAGCTTTAAGTGCCATTAATCATTACCCGAAGCCTCGGTTTATAATTTGAAATACGAGAATTCAAGTCTACATTTTCGCAGCTCACTCGGTTAATCGTACTTATTGTGGGCAACATGATACTCCCCTCAGCACACGTATTTAATTCCACTCACGCTCAGCCTCCTAGCGAGGTGTTGTAGGGGACCGTACCATTCATAAAATAGGTGAAGCAATGTGGATCATATGAATTTCCCCACAAGTAGCCGGAAGCAGGCTCGGCGCGGGTGCTCCATTCTATTTATAAATATATATTATATGGTATAAGCATCAGAACAAGACGCTGCTTACTTGTCAAAAGGTTCAGGGGGCGTATGTCGCCCCCCCGTATGTGCTGTGAGTGGTGCGTTCCAAGGCCCCGGTTAGTGAGTGGGAGCTTGGCACCAGGGCCCGGGTAGTCCTCCTGTGCCACCTGCTGGCACGTATAGGCCAGGAGGGATCGGGAGGTGCGATCGGGGCCCGGAAGGGAGCGCTTGGCCCTGGCGGCAGGGGCCGTTGATGGTAGTGGAGAGAGAGCCCTGCTCCGGTGTATCATGCTGTGAATGAATGTGAGTACTGTGCACTGTATTATTGTAGCAGGATGCTCTGTATACACTCAGTAGCAGCACCACACATAGCCCATTCACGACCAGGAGCATGCATGCAGATATTGCAATGGATGTTCGTGGGCCAGATCACCATGGGGGTCTCATTGATTCCCACATTTTGGAGGTCTGTGCTTATATTTTGCATTGATCTCCTTTTGCAATGCCCCCCCC